ATATCAGATTATAGAACTCTAAAAACCATTTGAAGAAGAGGAAGTGAGAGAACAGATGACAGTAACAGAAGAAGTAGTAGAAGGTGAGAAGCCTAAGAAAATCACTAAGAAGAAAATTATAAAACGTAAAGGGCAGAAGCAGCAAATAACAGAAGAAGTAACTGTAGAAGAGAAAGGACAATTACCTGTGACAACAATTACCGAAGGTCCTCTAGAAGAAATAGTGGAAGAAACTGTCTTTCCCTTACCGGATTACAAAACTATAAAACCGTCTGAAGAGGAGGAAGTGAGAGAGCAGGTGACCGTAACAGAAGAAGTAGTAGAAGGAGAGGAACCTAAGAAAATCACTAAGAAGAAAATTATAAAACGTAAGGGACAGAAGCAACAGGTAATCGAAGAAGTTACTGTAGAAGAGAAAGGACAATTACCTGTAACAACAATTACCGAAGGTCCACTAGAAGAAATATTTGAAGAAACTGTCCTTCCTTTACTGGATTATAAAATTGCGGTTCCGACTGTAAAGAAGAAAAAAAGTAAACATATAATTGAAGAAATTGTAGAAGAAGATGAGCCTAAGAGGGTTACTAAGAAGAAGGTTGTAAAACGTAAGGGACAGAAACAGCATATAACCGAAGAAGTAACTTTAAAGGGGATAGATCAGTTACCTGTTACAACAAGCACTGTAGGTCCTGTAGAAAGAATTGTTGACGAAAGTTTACTATCGGCTTCTCATTCTGAATTTGTGCAGTCTTTTGAGAAAAGTGATGTAATAAGTGATATTTCATTAACTAAAGATTTGGCGAATGATAACGTACTAAGGAAAGGCATTATAAATAAAATTGGCGAACGCGAAGGTAGCGACGAAACAATTTTCGGAAACGTGAACAAGGAGCGACTAGTACAAGAGGCAACAACTTCAGTTGATTTATACGCTGACACTATACCAGAAATACACATTAAACTTAAACACGATGGAATGATAAAACATAAATTTGTTAAAGAAGTTGTAAGGGGTAAGTGTGTTACGTAATTTTAGGATCTATTGTTGCTTATATTTTCTTGAATTACTCTTTTTCTACTATTAATCTGAATTAAGAAACTTTGACATAAAGACTTAATTCATAAGAAAGGTCCATATAACTGTTAATTATTATCCATTGACTATGGTGTTAATTGCATTGCATTGTTAGATATTGTTAGATATTAATACACAGTTGTCTCAGACAGATTTTCTTTCTTTAAATGATCTTATTTTTAATATGATATTTTTGTTTTGTAGATATCAAGGAAAGTCCGATGTATCAGGTAAGCTATAACAACGAAGTTTGTATCTAATATATTTTATATATATTATATATATATATATATATATATATATATATATATATATATATATGTGTGTGTGTGTG